ACAATTCATGTTCATAGCAGTATTCGTCCCCAAAGTGGAAACAAACCAAGTGTCAGTTGACTGATGAATGGATTAAAAACAGTGTGGCAGTCATACAATGGAATGTAATCCTACATATAAAGGAACGAAGTACTTATACATGCTACAATATGAAGAAAACTTGAAAGCATCTTGCTAAATAAAGAAGCCAGGTTTAAAAAAAGGCAATACATATGATTCCATTTACATAAAATGTCCAGAATAAGCAAATCCTTAGAGATAGGGAATATCTTATGGTTTCTAGGGACTGGGGGGACCAAGAATGGAGAGTGACTGCTAGTGGGTATGGAATTTTCTTTGGGGTAATGGAAAGGCCCTGGAATTAGAAAGTGGTGATGGTTGTACATCCTTGGAATGTACTAAAATCTATGGAATGAACTGTATGATATGTGAATTATATATCAATAAAGTTGTAATTTTAAAAGAAGATATGCATGCACTCCAATCTAGATATTTGAACCCTTATTAGAATTATTATAAAGCAGATAAATCTAGTCAATGGATGATCATCAAGTGTGAAAGTTATTCAGTGATAAAGTGACACAAGGTTTCTACTCTGATTAACTTGACATTCAGGGAAGACTGTGCTAGACTTCTTCAGGAGCTTCTCTTATGGAGAACATAAGAGAATAAGAAACCCTGCAGATTATTAAATGGCTTTGAAGTTGATAATGGTGTCCATGTGCCAGGACTATTATGTGCAGCCCTGCAGATTGTGTGCTAGTCATAGACAATAATGTAGATGGAGCCTTCTGAGGCTGTGCTTGCTGGCAACCCTGCTCTGTCCTTCAAGAAGTCTTGGACTCAGGCACACTTCAGTAAGAATATCACCACCTTTAATTATCCGAAAGCACAATTTTTTATTGTGACTGTGAATGTGAATTCTGCTTCAAAGGAATCTCTCTATGGTCTTCACAGTACATCTTTAGAATATTTCTCCTCAGCCCGGAGGAAAACTTAAGTGTATTTGCAAGTGGTGCTTCTGTATCCATAAAAGCACTTACGCTGAGTTCAATAGTCAGCTGTACATCAAGGTCACTAAAAATGAACTGTTGCCTTTCAACCTCAGGTCCTAAATGATTGCAGGGAGTTTCCAAGTTCCAGAGTTTTCCATGCAGTTTTACTACAGAAGCCTCTTACTTTCAGACCAGAAGTGAGCTTAGAAAAAGTAAAGAAAGCCATATTTTGCTATTTATATGAGGAAAAGGGGCAAACATCTGATGTCCTATTATACATCCTATGTTTATTTCTTGTATGGTGCTTTTTACTAGGCATCCAATATGATCCCATGCATTCCAGATTGCATTTAAGATTCTCCCTTTATACAGATACCTCAAAAAATAGAAGGGATCTATTGAGGATAGGTAGCTCCCTTTTATTCTTGTCATCGGTGAATATTTATGAATATCTGACGGCTCTTAACCTGTCAGCTGAGTCTTCTTCAGATCTGAGTAAGACTTTTTATTTTACGTAGTTTCCTACAACAGCATAACATTTCTGGAGCTGATTCACTGGGAGGACTCTGTCAACAATCAGCGTTTCACTGGCATTAACATGCAATAAAAGACAATGAAGCATGACTCAATTAAACCGCAAAAAAAAAAAAAAGAAAAAAAAAAGAAAAAAACTGTCTTCAGATAACATTAACCAAGTAGTTTTCCAAACCTTTGTGAGGCTTCTACTGTGTGACTAGCATTATGGTCAGTGCTTTAAAAACATATGTCTGAGCATCTAACAACTCCCCCCACCCCACCCCGCACACACAAAATGATTTAGCAGAAAAAGCAAAACTCTTTTTGTTTTATCTCCTTCTCATACTGTATCTAGATATTTTACAACTTCTAATATGCAATATCAATTAGGTCTCACCACTACAAAGAATAAGGACAAATTTTCCCTTTGGGATATCAATGGAAATTTAATTTGCACAGAAGATACAATTTGGGAGATTGTTTAGAGTCAGACCTGCTTAAAGGTAACAAACGAGAAAAGATTGTGTAGGCAGTAATTCAGAGAAAATATGTAAGCATCCACACAGTATGAACTCCTAGGACATCTGATATCTGGGTATGCCAATCAACCCATTCCTCAGCCGGGAATGAGTCTTATAAAAAAATTGCCAAGATTCAAGAGAAAAGATTGGGCTCTTCTACCAATACATAAATGTACACATTTATGCCTCACTTAACCAGGATGACTGGAGTGTTCTTTACAGAACCAGAGGCTTTTGTTTGTTTGGCTTTGGTTTTTCTGTACTTGAAATATTTAGGACTCTAGGTTTAAATCTTTAATATTTTAGATTTCATTATATTGAACACTTAATCATTTCAGTTAAAATTACTCTCATTAGGAAAAAAAACAATTTGATTTCACCAAGGGAAAGATAAAATAGATTCAAATATCATCCAATAAAGATCTTCGAAGATTTTATTTTTTGGTAAATTTTAAAATTCTTTCACCTTAGTTGTAATAAAAGGCATGGACAAATGCCCAGGGACATATGTTGAACCCATGGGTAAACAGTAACGAAAAATACTCTAACACGTTTAAGATATAATTTATAAATTCCAAATCATTATTTTAAACTATGATTAATATAAATTCTTTTGAGATTAAATTTCTTTTGTAAGAAAGCTATAAAATTATGCAAACAAAAGTGGAATCAAATGAAAACAATCATTTAAAGTAGACTTTAAAGGTAAATTTAATACACTTAAAGGATGATACCTTTTTAAAAGTGTAGACATTAAATAAATACTTGCGATCACAGGTTAATTAAGAAACTACAAAAAACGATGGCAATAGAGTGACTGAATGTCCCAATATAATCACTGTTTATTATATTCAGAAGCCAAGAATATAAAATGAAAACCTAAAGAAAATTTAAATTCAAATTATGAAGGTAACTGATCAGGATAATTCAAAAGAATGATTTTTCTCTTTGAAAATACTGAAAGATTAATGTAACACTAAAAGTTTACTGGTTACATTAGTTGTCTATGGCTGCTGTAACAAACTATCACAATCTCGTGGCTTAAAACTACATAAATTTATTCTCTTACCATTCTGGATCCTCCAAGGGGAGAATCTGTTTCCTGGCCTTCTTTAGCTTCCAGTGGTGCCTGTAGTCCTCAGCTTGTGGCTCCAATCTCTGCTTCCAGCATCACATCACCTTTTCCTCTTTGTAGTCAAATCACCCTCTGCCTCCCTATCTTATGACACTTTAGATTGCATTTAGGGCCCACCCAGATTATCCAGGGTAATTACCCCAACTCAATCACATCTGCAAAGTCCCTTTTGCCATGTAACATTCACAGATTCCAGGAGTTAGAATGTGAAAATCATTGGGGTCATTCCTTAGTCTACCATGCTAGCCCAAAAAATTTATTTTAAACTCTCCATCTCCATCCTAGGAGTTAAACAAATTAATGCCTTCTTGATCAGCTTTACTCAGCACATATCATTACTTTCCATTGGGAAGTTATAGCTTGTTCAGGCTGGCTTACCATCAAGATCTTTCAACTGAGGGTCTGTCTCTGAAAGTATCTATTAGTCTCCTGGCCCAAGCTAGAGACACTGGGTAACATAATGAAGGGTGTTCGTTCCTTTGAAAGACAAGTACAAACTTCACTATTCTTCCCATTATTAGTCTTATGGAAGGATAGACGTGGTGTTGGTTTATTTTGTCCAATCAATGGACAAGTGATCTAGATTTAAAACCAAAACGTACTTCTCAAAATTATTACTAACTTGTCGAGACAATTAAAAAAATTTTTTTCTCCTCTTTAGAAAGTGCTAATTATTACTAGAAGGCAGGCCTGGCAAAGTGGAAATTGTATGGGCTTTGGAGCTGCAGCTCTGGACTTACTAATTACTAGGTTCTATGTGATCTTATTAGTCAAATGCTTAACATTTTAGATGCTCAGTTACTCATCAATCGAATGGTGATGCAAATTCCTACTTCAGAGGTTTATTGTGAGAACAGTTGAGTTTTCCTATGATGGCTGGCATAGGATAGTTGCTCAGTAAATATTATTTTCACTTTTTATATTAGAAAACTTACATAAAAAGCACACAGCAAATAGGATCAATTTACCATTGTTCAGTACAGTCTGTAGAATGAATTCATATATAATTGGTAAATATAGTAACGTGAAAATAGTACTGATTTCTATCAGCCCTCGATAACAGTGTATATCATAAATGTGAAAAAAATAGTGTTGCTAAGTTTAAAAAGAGTCATATTTTTGGTAAATTAAAGTTGTCATTCTACCACTATTTAAAAGGTTATTCACTTATGTCATTAAATTATCATCCAGTTGGCAATTCTAGCAATGTCCTATACCTCTTCGCATTTGTATTATGTCACTGCAAAACGTTTACATTACGAGTGCTGGCAAAACCTAAATAAATAAGTGTAACCTAGGTATCAAAATACTAACTTTAAGAATCCCTTTGATAATGATGGGTGATGTGCATATTTTTCTATATCGCAGGTTAGTAAGAAAATCCACACACTAAAGTATAAAGTAAAACTTCCTTTCCCCTACAAAAGTATTTGAAGTCACTCTCGAAAAATGTCTCTTTTATACATCAGTTTTAAGGAAGTAAAGAAGCCGATAGAGCAACTGTCCCTGCCAACACAACGCGGATCTCAAATATGCAGCGATTGGTCACTAAGGTGCTCAGAAGCAGTCTAGGTTTCTCAGATCTCCATAGGACATGTCATTAAGTCTTCTCCTCCTGCTGGGTTTGACTTCTGGGGGTGAGGGGAAAGCATATGGTAAAAAAATTACTGTATTTGGTAGTGAATACTAATCATTCAGAAGGCTCATCCTTCCATCTCTATGGCCTTTGATACCTAGTCGGTTATAAATGTGACATACTTTGACTTAACAATCTTTTTGAATTTACAGTTCAGATTTCATAAAATTTATCTGTAAAATCAATGCCCACATTCATGGAGAGACATATATGTTTATTTTTGGTGTTATCCCATTAACAAATTGTAAAGTTAAGGCAAAAATTTACAAAAGGCAAAGTTTACAAAAGTTCTTATTTCTCTTAAATTAGTAGGATCTGGAAATAGATACAACACAAATACACACACACAGACATGTAAGTGATATAGGGGTAACACTTTATAGTGTGAGAATTGGAAGCTCAATGATGTTACGTGAACTAAAAAGCTCTATATCAATTTCTATATGGACAATATCTTAATCATTGTATGGAATGGCAGAAAAAAATGTTTTGAAACGTGCAGAAATTATTTTATGATCTATATAAAAACAATCTATAGCATTTTCTGTTACAATAAATTTGCAACTTGAATTTCATGCATGTTACATTACACAGGGTATTATTTTGGAATACTTTAAACCCAGAATGGTTAATAAAAAGAATTCCAAAGAAAGAATTAAAAGAAATTTGGTTAAAGATGTAATTTTACTCCACATAAAAAGCTTTCTAAGGATTTATATATAACTATTTATACTGGCTCAGTACTATAAGAAATAGTATTGTGCTACACAGTATGACAGTCATAGTGCTGTGTTACCTCAGATGGATGGCATAAATCACTTGGCTAATTTGGCTAACAATATAAATAGTCGGTGTACAAATTTTATTACCAAGTCCAATTTAAAAAATTCTCAGAAGCTGGGTATATTTGAATCAAATGTCACTGTCAAGTTAAGACAATATAGATTCCATAATACGTACTGTTACTTTCTAATGTATCTATAACAACAAACTCCATAACGAAAAGTAATATAAAATATGGACTTTGTATCAAAATTCTTCGTTAAAACTACAGTTCACATCAGAAGTTAATATCACTGGGATTTAAACGATTAATACAAAAAAACAAATACATATTACAAATATTCTTTTGTTCTTCACTTACCATGATGCAAACTGTTAGGATTTAACCTTTAAGGGTTAAAGAGTTTAATCAATGTCAATGTCTGATCTTCTGAAGGCGATAAAGAACAGTCTGTCTAGCGATACCCAACAGAACATCACTTTGTCAAGCCACAAAGCGCCCAAAAGCTTGTCAAGTAAGTTACCAGAAACCTCTTTGTGGTTAGAACTCAGCTCCTTCCTGCTTGACCTATTATTTGATATTTGACCACTTGGTTGCAAGACACTTGCTCTTTCTAGCTGAAATGTCACTGGGGCATCTTGTCAGCTCCCCGACATCTCGGCCTGACATACAATTTTACTTTTGTGTGCTACAAGGCAGAAAATGCAGGGCAATGGCCTTGTTTTAAATTCTGTCAGCATCAAAGATGGGCGTCACTCTTGGGTCCTACCAACAACAAAAACAAAAAAAAGGAGTCTATTTTGAAGGTCAAAACGGCCATTATCTTGAAGTTTTTCAGCTTATACTAAACATATTACCTGCTATACTGGTGTGAGAACTGTCCTTAAAAAGTGCCTAAACATACCACAGAAATCTTCCCAGGACAATTGCTCCACTTTGTTATCAAATGCAGACTTGATAAAAGGATGAGTTTTCAATGCCTGTAGGGACCAGATTCAGCAGTTAACTTAACTTGTTCAAATGGGCAAGTGGTATCATGTAGCTTTACAAGGAGCAACCTGACCTTCTCACATTGACCAGGAGTGACATTATTGTGCAGGAGGAGAAGCAGTCACATCATTTCTGTTTTGCACAACCTGCTTAAAGTTTGCAACTAAATGCTTGTCTTCAGTTGAGCTGACAAGAGAGAAGAGGGGGCTCAGTGAACCATGGCAGGGCTGCCATGAAATGACAGGAATCATTGGCATACATTTCAAATAGCTCTCTCAATCCTATTAAAGTATTGCAGTCCTGCTTTAAAATAGACAAGTATGAAACAACTTTGATAGATAGAGACTAAAATGGCTTATTGATTTTTTTAAGTCTGAAGGAAATTACCCAAAATGTGTCATTCTTTAACATTTAAAAATATGTTACATAAAAATGAGCAACTGTGATAATAAATAAAATTTAGAGGGAAAAAAGTTGGTTATTTCATTATTCACGGAGATATAGATACCTGCCCACACCAAGATATCACACAATTTTTAAAACTCACTGCTACTTGTGTTGAAACAAAATTCAACTGATAGGAAAATCCCCCTTCAAAACAATTTTAATTGTACTGTTAATTCTTCCTGCATTTTTTTATTTCATAAAGTCATAATCCAATCTGAGTTGGTCTTTTGGTAATAGCAGACATAGTTACTGGAGAGGAGTGAGATGATGTCAGGGGTGCAGAATTTATAAATGTCTCCTTTAAGAAAGTGTAAGTTGTATCAAGTTCAGCTTTCAATGGCAAAAAATCCCCAACGCCAA